ACAGAATTCAAACTGCTCAGCGAAAAATGAAAGATAAACTGAATGTTAAGCGCAAGAAAATAACATTCAGACTAGGCGAACAAGTTTTGATCCAAAAACCACTTAAACGCAAAAATGAAAGTTCCAAGTTGCACCATAAATTTTTTGGTCCCTATTATATTTGTGGTAAAGTCACGGATTCCATTTATATTTGCCGTGAAAAATACCTCAATCCGAAATCCAAAAAAGAACACGTGCACGTCGAAAAACTACGCCGCTATTTCAACCCCTCGCTCTACCGAAAATCCATTCATTCAGAGAACCCAGTTGCGGAGGTCCCGGCTCCCGAGTTCTACGACCCAGATCTTTTGCCAGATGACGAAAATGAGGAACCAGACAATCAGGAATCCGACGACCCGCCACGAGGAGAGACATAGCTTCCCCTCGCCCGACACACGAACCTGTTGCTATCTTTCACCCCTGCCCTCTCCCGACGACACGAGCCACGCACTGCGCCGTCCCCGACCCCTGTATTCCCACTCACACCCCCTTCCTTCCCGCTCCCGTGCACCGCAGAGAATTCCGCACAATCCCGTTACGCACAGACCATCCCAGCCCTTGCTTCGTGCTAAGCACCCCCCTGCCTTGCCTTCCCTCCTCATTCCACGACACACACTTGACCACCTTACTCTTTCTTCCTTTCAGAGAAAAATACAAGTGATGATGATGCGTCCATCCACCTTCACACTACTCCTCCTACTTGGGAGTACTGCCCCTCCTATATGCACGACATCCTTAACTGGGTTTGACTGTATCGATAAACCAGTTCAACAGATGGAAATTTCTTTACGACAAATCAAAGAATGTACTAAACCCAACAATTCTCCCATCAACTCGACTGTAACAATACAAATTATTCAACGAAACGAGGACCTTCCCATCACGACAATAAGCTGTAAAATTACTGTTCTAAGACTAGTCCAACACTGCAGTATGTTTGGCGATATGCAAACAGTAGCCAATTCTTTAGCTAATTTTTATCCTGAGATCACTCTTAATCAATGTAAAACCTTAATAGAAACCAGGAAATCTACCGAGTACGGAACAATCATCAATCTGAATTTGAACGGCTTCACAGAGAGAACAGTCCTTTTGGCAGGGATTGTCAAGGAAAATAGTAATTGTGAAGGAGCTTCATATTCTGATTCCTATGGCAGTTATAATGATGTAGTTGTCCATGCAACACTGAAGTTTGAACTGTATGAAAGCGAGGCCATGTTTAACCCAAAACTGGATGAAATTTATTTAAAAACGGGAGTAAAATGTGTATATTCTACTAAATCTTGTTTTGACCCAATTAGAGGGTATACTTTTTGGGACCCTTCTCTTGATAATGAGTGTAATGACAAATACTATAGTGTTCTTTACGAAGGACCAGCGTACAAAATCCGTGACTCCAATAGGTTGGAACCAATTTCGTACCTAGTAGACGAAGAGGATGTTGCCTTCTCACTAAAAGCTATTAAAACCACCAGAATTTGCCACCAGGAAGCATACCAGACTGAATATCCTAGATTTTACATTGTACCACAATCTGATTATGAATTTACATTTCGCAAATCCCAGCGTAAAGTAACTGCAGAGCTACTGACCTACTTTAATATAAAATTTTTATTTCTGGAACGCCATCTTTCCCGAGCTATTCATAAATTACATGAGTCGCTTTCGCTCGCTAATTGCATGGTAGAAAGGCAAATTTTAGAACATCATTTAAGCCTTGCAATACACCATAGCGACGAATTTGCATATATTCGTGGTGGTGGTCCTGGTTGGACCGCCATTTCAATGGGCGAAGTCTGCTATTTAATCCAATGTAAAGCAGTCCCCGTCGATTTGAGACCAGCGACCACATGTTATAATGAAATCCCGGTCTCATACAAAAATGAAAGCATGTTTTTAAGCCCCAGAACCCGTATTTTGACTCATAAAGGCACTGAAATGGACTGTTCCAACCAGTTACCAGTAAAATTTCAAATAGACGACCAATGGTATGCATTCACACCCAGGGTCCAAACTGCAAACGCACCCTTAGAACTGGAAGCGAGATCCTTTTCGTCTTGGTACTACAAAAGCCCCCGAAATATTTTAAAAGCTGGCATTTATACCGAAGAAGACCTCGCCGCTTATCAGCGCCGTATATCTTACCCACTAGAAAGTTCAGCTGTCCAAAACGCTATTATTCGGGAAGCACTAGGCTACCCACAGACAGATAGAACCCTTCACTTTGAAAATTTTCTCACAGAGGCGTCTTTAGAAAATATTTCCAGAAAACAACTCGTAAAGTATGGGGCGTATTTTATGACCTAGGAACTGTTGTTTCTGGATTTATTGGGATCATTTTCATATTTAAGTTGATTAAACTGGTCTTAGATACAATTATTTTTGGAAAATTGCTTCATTCAGTCTTTGGTTTTTCATGGAAATTACTCGCAGCCTTGTTCTCATCCCTAGCAAATTACCTCATTCACTCTCACCATGTAAACAAACATGAGCAAACATATAGTCGTAACCCGGAAGAGCCCCTCCCTCTTACAACACCGTCTGTGCCTTCCTTGAAAGATTCGCTCCCATCATACGTTTCAAACTAAAACTAGTTCTTCACTATCCATTCGCGCAACTTATCCCCATTATTTCTCTTTATAGCGCCATGCAAATCAACACTTGCAAACAAATAATATTCCACGAATTTCTTACGAGATGGGCCGCAAACGACGGAGTGATAGCCCATTTTTACCTATTCGGACCCCACACATCGTTAACACAGCTCCGAGAGGAGCTGTTCAACATGTTGGAATCAGAATGCAGGCTGCTATGCCTAACAGTAAACCACGAGCCAACTCACATCCAAATACTTCGCAACAATGCGAAAATGTTTTCCATTGATTTCACAGATACAGACGACCCATCTCTTGAGATGATACAACTTTATTGAAACGTACTCTTAGTTTTTAGATATTTTATGATTTAGTAATAGAAAAGCCTGCAACCCCCCCCCCTTCTTGTCACCCCAAAATTTCAATCACCTAACTTTGTTTACAGAATGGCAACGTACGAGGCACTTATGGAACAGTACCCCTTCATCCAGGCCCTACTAAGGAACTGTGATGACGAGACAAGAATTAATCTAAACTATGCATATGCATTGCAATTGGATATAGCCAAATTAAATTTTAAAACCCTTAATTTTTCCATAATCCCCCAGTCTTTCGTGAGGGATTACATTAACGACTTGCCTTGGGACATCCTGTCCATTAGATATAAATTTTCATTCAATCAATTAAAGCGCTTTAGTCATAAAATCAATTGGTGTCTGTACAGCAGAACAAATTTTTTAACAGAACATAGAATTGAGATATTTCACGAGAGTCTCTGCTGGTACTACGTCAGTGCCAGCAAATTCTTAACACCCAATTCTGTTGTTAAGTTTGCTCGGCTTTGCAAGCAAGACCGGCTACACCCTCAAGTTAAAAAACAACTAAGTTCACAAGATTTGTATGCCTTGGAGAGATTTACCGCCTATGGCGGCCCTCCAGACAGACACCTGGGAAACAGGTATACTACATCCACCCCACATTGCAAATGCAATCCCCATTTGCCCCAAACTGCTAACAAGCATGAACTCTTGAAGTGCCTCTAGTGCCGCTCCACAACCCCTTATTGTCAAAATTTTACTGATTTCATTCCATTCCACCCATTATCTGACGTTTACTCATCTCATTCCAGTTACACTCACTCATTATTCATCTCATCTCAGTTCATTCCTTTCATCTTTTCTCATCTCATTTCATTTCATTTCCGTTGTAGAGCATTCTTGACTAGTTAGCATTCCGCATCATTCCCCCCCCCCCCCCCCCCCCCCCCCCCCCCCCCNCAGGCTTCTGTAAATATTCTAGTAATTTTGAGTATGACTTGTTTAACTTTACAAAATTTTAGGCTTTAAGTTTATAGATATTTTATCCATTAATTCTTAGAATTCTTACATGAATGTGAACGATCATTGTACACTTATCATTCAGATCCTACTTTCTGCACAATTTCACTAGCATCTTCTAATTACAGTTTCTCTGTTCAGTACATTCAATTCAAACCTTTTTTACCTTACATAAGTATTATTTTTACATGTCCTCTTCTCAAATTACACTTACAGTTACATATTACATTTTGCAAGTTTTTGTTTTAGCTATCGCATTCCAATTGCAACCTTCTTCAGAATTTGCATATTACTTTTACATTTAATTTTCGCATTGCGTCACACTAGGTACTAAGAAATTTCATGTAACAGCAACGTAATCCTTACGTTGTTTTACCGCAGTGCCTTAGCCTTAGGTTTTAAGTTTCAGATTTGCTTTTATAAGTTTTTTTTCTCGCATATAAGATTGCCGCACAAATAACTCCAAATCGCATATTTAGATATTTTGCGCATTTCATTTTCACTTTTACATTGTCATCTTTAACCCTCTTACCACATTATTCTAGTCCATTTTATACCTTTCTCGTTTCGAATCACATTTTATTCGTACTTCCGTTGACTGTCACAACTATTATCATTCTGGAATTTATTGCTTTCACCTCTGACCCATTCCATGGGGCATCCAGATACTTGCCACCCAGTCTTATTTCTTATCTTGTACTTCATTCTTTTAATTAATTTACTGTGTGTTTTATACATAAGATTATAACGTATTATCTCATTAGTCCTTTTTAATTCATGCCAACCTCTCTCTCACAAACCTCTGTTCTTCTTCCCCCCCCCCCCCCCCCCCCCNCCGTCAGTCAAATTCTGATTCGTCATACATTATTGCTTCTCTTGTCAAATTTACTTATGTACTTCCAGCAGCCAAACTTTAAGGAACTTCCGTCCTTCTTATCTACCCCTTCCATACCCATCCCCCTTGCACCAAACTTTCTGGACCACTATTAATCCCAAATCCACCTCAGTCAACCAGCACATTCGGCCAATCATGGACTTCCCCGCATCATCTCTAGTGCCTACAGCTTATGATTCGGACGAAGAATTCTTTTCTATAATCTCAACATCCTTCAATGAGGAATGGGACAAACTTGCCCCACAGCCCAGCCCAGCCAAGCCGCCGCCTGCCGCCCAACCGGCTCCGCACGTTTTCAAACGGCCGTATTTGAAGCCCCGCCGTACACGCCGGAAACTTCAGTACTGCAAGCCGTACCTGCCCATCATGAAGCACTGGTCCTCAACGTATTGCCCGATGTGCTGCCACCCTGAGGACAGAAATAAGCCATTCGAACCCATTCCCATCCGCCCAGTCATTCCAGACCCAAATTTCAAACCCTCTTTCATTCCACCCCTGCCCATATTCGTAACACAAATCACCGAGCTCCCACCGCCTTCTGCACCGCCATCCCCAATACCACAAATCACACCGCAACTTTCCTATGTTTTTCCACTGTCACCAGCCTCCATTGCTGCGATACCCCTTCCACCATCGCCTCCTCTCGCATTGCTATCGCCACCTCACGCATTGCCATCGCCACCTCACGCATTGCTACCGCCACCTCACGCATTGCCATCGCCGCCTCACGCATTGCCAACGCCGCCTCCCGCATTGCTATCGCCACCTCACGCATTGCCATCGCCGCCATCCGAACCCATCTCTGCTACTGTCACACCGGCCAACTCCACCCCTTCAGTCGCCACAACTACCGACGCCACTCTTATATCACCTTTCAAGCAAGTCATGGACCTCCTACTCCAACTGGACCTGCCCTTACCCGCGCTGTCCGCCGAGGAGGAATATGACCCGGAATCACCGGCAATCGAAGCGTATTCCCCCTCCAACCCAGGAATGTGCCCGCCTTCACACCAGAACTCAGTGAAACCACATATGCCGCGACGAAAACGCAAATACATTCGCCCCCGTGGAACCCGTGGTGGCCGCAATGCGAAGAAAGCGAAGCTCTGCAAGTAATCTGCTTTCCTCTCCTTCGTAAATCCTTCCCCTTTCCAACCTTTTTAGTTTGGTCGCTCTTTTTTTTCTCCCCCTAATTTGTGCCCTTTATTTTGACTTATTTTTCCCCTTACTTCGTGCCCTGTATTTTACTTCATTTTTCCCTTAATTTGTGCCCTTTATTTTTTACTTGTTATTTTCCCCATTTTCAAACCCAAAATGTCGCTCTCAGGTGTACACTGACTCAAACAGCTGTGATCCAAGACCTTCGAACATTTACCGCCCTTATTTTGTAACATACCTTAACCGTTGTGCCTGGCGCCACCCTTCTACTCACCATTTATCATTTTTTCTTATCATCTTTTGTCGTTTTTTTTTCTTCTCAAATTGCAACTTTAAGCATTAAAATTATTTTGACCTTTTTTATCTAAATTGTTACATTTACATCTTAGCACTTTTATGAACATTTTTGTCTAGTTGCAAACTTTTTCCTTGTAAAATTCTCAGCTTGCGTTGCAAAATTTACTTCGTAAATTTTTTGAGCCCCGGAGGTGTAGTATCCACGCTCGACACTGCTGTCTAGCGTGTATACTCCGTGTTCGGGACCGCAAACGTGGGGTACGCTCGCCGCTCCCCTAGTAGAATCGGTGACGTCAGCCAGAGTACCGCGGCAAGACCCGCGGAGCTGTTCCCCCACTTCGGCCCGTGACTACGGCCAGAGCGGGGAGACGCCCGAAAGTTGTCGGAGCTTGCCGAGCCGCGGTTCCCGCGGCTATAAAACGCGTTGCACGGCCATGCTCGCCGTCTTCTGATCACATTCATTTCCATTCATTCTTTTCATTCTTTTCACCCTCCATGTAAGTTCTTAGGTCTTTAGGTCATTTAGTGTTTAGTCTAGTCAGGACTCATGAGCGTAGCCGTGTTTCCGTCCCTTATGTATATCCATGTTAGTTTGTAGTGTATCGTGAGCGTTGCCGCGTATTTACCCCAGCATAGGCGTGTTACACTGAGAGCGCATATCATCCCCCTTGTATCCACCCATGTAGAGAGAGAGGTTCCTATCATTTTTGTCATTCATTGTCATTTTTGTTCTTGTTCATATTTTAGTCATTCATTATAGTTTGTTCATCACCATATCATTCTTCTTCATTTCATCTCACGTCCCCCGATTTTTAGTATAGAGGTTGGCTCTCTCAGTCGTATGCTAGGATAGCCACCCTCTACAAGATTACCGTAAAAAAGAAACGAAACTTTAGGTAGCCATTGTTCTGCCGTTCTTGCGGGAGAAAAATCATTTTTGAAGTATATTTTGCGGCCTCGAGATGGAGAAGATACGTTGTTTCGTCTGGGAAACTACCACTAATGTATGATTCGTGAAAGTGCACAGTTTCAGCTATTGAATAGTTTTGGTTAGGTTTCAACACTGCCGTGCTGAGGAAAAATGCCGTATGAACATTCGATAGTTGCCAAATTACTGAGGGTAAAACGTGTATTTTTAAAGAAAATTATGCGAATTTTTCTTTGACCTTTTTAGACGTTTTGGATAAAGTCGCGAAAAAAATTGTGTGACAAAATTGAAGAAAAATACTAGCAATTTTCTTAGTAAATTAGGTATTTATGGAGGGAAAGATGACAGCGTCTGAAGGTTCATACGGCGTTTCTCCTTAGCACGGCAGAACAGATTCCCAAATGGACTACATTTTGCAATTTGGAACTATAAGTTCTGGCTCTTCTCGAAAAACACTTATGTGCATGGGGAAACTAATGGCACATACGTTGTTTGTAAACCGGGCTAGAATTTACAGTTCCAAATTACAAAATGTAGTCCATATAATCCAGTAAAATACCCCATTGTGCGCCGGGACTCGCGTTTCCGACTGTTTGACAAGGGCGTCCGATCGACCTATAAAATTGAGTACTTAACATTAAGTTATGCATGGGAAAATCGATTTACAGCTAAATCCGACAGCAATGCCATTCGCTTTCGAGTGTTCCGACGATTTCCAAGGGGCGGGGAAAAACGACGTTTACCCGTCCGAGCCAGCTCCCGGCCGATGCTACGTCAAATGCTCCTCTTTTAAATTTTGATATCTTTTTCTGCTCCCCTTTTGAATCCCCTCCCCCCACCACCCCCTACCGCGCTCTCTGATCCCGATCGTGACGTCAGGACTGGGTTTCAGCCCTTTGAGAGTCAAATGCGTATCGCTTGGCGCATTGTTGCGAAACTCTTATTACAAAAGAGGAAATGATCAATCAGCAATGATCGATCACAGGATACGGAACTAACCGTTCAAAATGGAACCCCTTTCCTAAATTGGACGTATTTATGCTAAACGGAACGATACGCAAGTGGAAAGATGGGGTGTGCTCGTTAGCTGAGGGCCGTAAGAATGAATGGGAAATATAAAGCGCCAGTGACGTCAGTGGCGACGACGAGAGAAACGACGATGGAGAAGGTGGTCTTCAACTCATGAGCCTTGTCCACAAGGCTCTTGTCACATGTCCACGGCTCACAAGTTAGCGCTCATTGTTAGTTCCTATCGATTTAATGTCCAATCCCGTTTTTCCATTTTCTCAAAAGGAACTATAGCCACTTTTACATTGTTTCTTATCCTGCTTCCACGAGCACACCCCATCTTTCCATTTCCACATAGTTCCTTTCAGCATAGATGGGTCCTATTGAAATTTGTTCGGTTGGTTGAAGTTTTGAGGAATAATTCCATGAGATTTAAAAGTGTGGTGCGCTCTATGGAAATCGCGGATGCGGATGCGGAAATGCAAGTCTAATCTCTGTCTATCTATGGAATGCGGATCTATGGCTTTTTTTTAGAACGACCCGCAGGCTCATGCTGCATGTTCGAGGGGCGAATGTCATTTAAACATTCCAAAGATGCCAAATGTTACGCGATAAAATATGTATTTCAAAGCACGGCTGTGAATATGTATCATAGACATTTTTAGCATGGTAATGCATTGTAAATACAATTCTGACAAATATTCAAATCGAATATAAATTATTTACCTTGAAAATTCTTATCGAAGGAAATTTTGGAACGTCTGAAAGGTTACACAGCTTTCTTCCTTAGCACATCAGATTGGATGTATAAAGAATGGTATAATATAGAGAGGATGTGTTCTTAAAACACTTCTCTACCCTTTGTGCTAATTTGTGCTACTTTTTCAGCAATGAGGTACCTTTGTTCCTTAACGCTGAGCTTCGTACGGTTGGTCAAAATTCAAAGCATTCCACGTGACATCTTGTGTTGGAAAGATTGTATTTACAAGTTTACATCGTAAAGGAACTTAAACGCTACGCTTAGCGAACTTTTTACGGAAAAAATCCTCTAAATTCTGGTCTTAAAACAATAACTACCATTCCTTGGTCCATCGATTCCCGTTAAAAGACGGATACAGTTGTGGAAAATTAGCGGCACAAGATAGCGTTGTGGAAACTCTTCTTATGTACTGGAAAAAAAAACACATTGGATCTAGAGTCCAAACTCTTGAAAACATTGACAAGAAAAAATACTCTTGATTCAATCGGATTTTTGCTTGAATTAAAACGTATCCCGCTTAAATTAAGAGGCTTCGTTC